ATTTCTCTATTCAACCCAAAGCCATCAAAATAATATTTCATGTACTTACCGTGGAGCAGTTTTATGTAGGAGTTCGGGGCATAATACTACGATGAAAACTCGACATCAGAATTGTGAAACTTAGTAGCTTTCCTAGACAAGCCAATGATATTTCGAATTTCTTGAAAATAAGTCATTTCTGGGCAAGAAAAACGTTGCTAACTGATAAAACGTCTAGAGAATTTCTCCCTTTACAAAGCATTTTCTTTATTTAAATCTACTTATTCTTTCCTAAAATGATCATAGTTGACGTAGAAAAAAAGTTTTGTGTGCGTGATCTTTAAGTATTCAATTTGTTGTCACATTCCAGCAAATTATAGATTTAGTTGAAAGCCGTCTTCTTTGTTATGTATTGTTTACCAAATTTTGTTCTTACGATAAACAGATTGAACTATAAACAAGATCAATTACGTGCTGCAACTGAATCTTCTGAGAAATATAGCAATGATTCTCTCACTTGCTCATAATCACTTGTTTTTTCTTTGCATCAACTTCTCCTTATCTACAATATATAGTTTGAATCTATACTACACTGATCAATATGATAATCCAACATCACTGCAGTATGATTGTCTTGACTACTATGTTGAAAACGATATTGTTTCATATGATAATCCGGAACCACTGGACCTTCAACTGATTGCCTACTGTATACGGTTAGAAAATCTAAGTGAACTCTCAAAAACTCTTCCCGCTAAACATTTAATCAAGGGACGTAGTTTTACTTTTAATGATCTTAAAAATCAAAACATAACAGGAGAACAATTGCTTGATTGGACAGCAACCATTGAACTCGTTGAGCGCTATGAAGCCCATTTAGTTGGTGATTCAACGACAAATGGATCCGATCTTTATTATAATTGTACAAATGATTGGTTTGGCAATGCTTGTGAATATTCATTTTATCGAGCAAAAGACAAAAGAACATTAGTAGACGTTGTCTACGATACATTTAATGAGAAAAAATTTGCTTCACCTGAATATGTGCCGTGTTACAAACTGTTGGAGGTAGGCTTAGTTTTGGAGTTATGATTATCTGTTATCATTAGATACAATAATCCATATTCATACTCACATTATCTTTTCTCGATCGTGCATTTTGATTAATAAATTCAAAACTAAAATCATCTTTTATTCATACTCGCATATGTATCTGTATTTTAGTGTAAACGTAGCCCATCAGCGCTTTGCCTCGATTGGCGTGAAATTTGTGATGGAAAAATCGATTGTCTTAACAATGGAATAGACGAAGAAAACTGTTGGCAACTTGAAAACTCTAATGCATTTATAAATAGTAAAAATGAATTTCTGTGTCATAATGGAATGCAAAGTATTTCAACAAGTTTTTATCGGAATGGTCTCTATAATCCAGATTGTATAGATCGAACTGATGAAGCACATAATGTGGAATATTGGAAAAATTGTTTTCGAGATCCTGCATTTCGATGCGAAGAACATACATGTCATCCTGGACAAGGTGAAGCAAGATTGAATTGTGGTGACGGACAGTGTGTCTATGACTTGAGTAAATGTACAAATCAGCGTGGTATGATCAATACAGCTGAATGGATATTGCTAGATATTTCGGAATCATGCTGGAATGGGATGGTGTGTCTGACAAAAATGAAGACACATATTGGTGATGAAACGTGTGGTTTATATTGTTATGAGGAATGTGCAATCAATGTTAAGATTGATTGCAAACCAATTTTTCGTTTTCCAGCTGACTTTATCGCATTAAATCACGTCTTCTTGCTCTATACGAAGGAGAGTGCAGATGAAGAAAACGAACGAATTTTACCATCTTACATTTGTTACGATTCCCAGCAATGCAGCATTGCACTTCCTTCAGTGAATGTGAGTCTCGTTCAACATAAAAGTTCATGTGTTGATTTTGAGAAATTCGGCTTTCAATATGAATATCACCCTCCTTTATTAGAACTTATCGTAATGATCGAACACTATTTTTATTAGTGAATGCGCAACTGCAAGTACTAGTCAGTGTCATGATGCAAGCCATTATCGATGTATCAATTCATCGAAATGCATTTCGAAACGTCGTCTGGTTGATGGAATTCAAGATTGTATAAGTAACGATGACGAATTATTTGCTGATAGTTGTTTATTGAATAATACATTTCGTTTTCAATGTTCGGAAAAAGAAAATAAATGTATTTCACCTATTCTTATCAATGATGGTTACTCAGACTGTAAATTCGATGAAGATGAAAGTAAATCTGCACTATTAGATTATCGAAGTCAAACTGATATTTCGTTTCCGAATATATGCGATGGTTTCAGAGAACTAATACCAATTAAAATCAATAATCTTTATGAAACGGATGAGACTGAATGTGAGTTTTGGTATTGCAATAATTTTTACACGAGATGTGATCATATTTGGCATTGTCCGACAGGTATCGACGAAAGACATTGCTGGACTAATACGAATTGCCAATTGATCGATCATCTGTGCGTTCAGAAAAGTGATTACGCCGAAGTATGCTTATTTTCTCATTGTAATGGAATCAAAAATTGTTCATCAACACTTTATACATATCCAGAGCAGCTTTGTGTGAACAATTCAATAATTAAAACTTATTTTAGTTGTTGGACCAGTTATCAGTTTCTGTCTGTACCACTAGTATGTGATTTATTGAATGGATACATAAATGATACTAGTGAATGGCACATACATTTAGCTCATCGTTTGTTCTACTGTAACAATAATTTCACAAGAGATAATCGAACGCTTAAGTGTAAACTGACTGAACGTTACAAATCACGATATTACAGTTATTTCCTTTATTCGTCGAATACGAGAATGAATAGAATAGAAAACGAAATATCCCTTCCAACTAAATATGAATCGGAAGGAAAAAAAAGAGACCTGAATACGATACATTTTTGTCATCGAGGTTTGTCAATCCAGTTCTATGATAACCAAGAAAAACAACGATGTCTCTGTCCACCGAGTTATTACGGCCATTCATGTCAATATCAAAATCAACGAGTTAGTCTCACATTAAAAATTGTCAATGATGCTGATTGGCGAACAGTATTCAATATCGTCACTATGTTAATCGATAATGAAGGTACAATTCAATCACATGATCAAATACTTTATGTACAAAAGTTTGATTGTAATCTAGTTAATTTCAACATTTATCTTCTCTATCGTTCACGACCAAAGGATACTATGAAGAATTACAGTATTCAAATACATGTTTATGATAAGCAAACGTTAGAATATCGTGGTAGTTGGTTATTTCCTTTGGTATATACATTTCTTCCCGTTCATCGTATGGCAATCGAAATAACTATTTCATCCTATCGACCATTACGATGTTCATTTGCATGTAATTATCACGGTGAATGCGTCAAATATATTAATCACAATGATGAAAATTCATTATATTACTGTCGATGTGATCCTGGATGGTCGGGTAAAGATTGTACAATTAAACATGATACATGCAATCTTTGTGCTCGTGATTCATTGTGTATGTATCAAAATATTTGTGTTTGTCCTCTTGGTAAAGAGGGATCTCGATGTTATCTTAAATCGACTACATGTTCATCATCATTACACCGTTGTCAAAATGGTGGTTTATGTATACCATCGGATATGCGTCGAAGAAAAAATAATATCTATTGTTTATGTCCAGAAGGCTTTTCCAATCAAATATGTAGCAAATTAGACCTAAAAGTTCGAGTAGAATTTCATTCAAATATTGAAACTCCACAATCGATTATTATTTATTTAATTCAACATACGATAATGACGACTAATAAACCTGTTTCAATATATAAGAAGATTCCCTTTGATCAAAATTCAATTAGTTTTTATACACCAAATCGTTTCTTTCTAGCATTCATGGCACTATCTATGAATGAATACTATTTGACCTATACAATTCATGACAATAATTCATTGATGAATGAAAACAATCGAAGAACAATTTTAATGAGAGTTCAATCAGATCGACGTTGTCGACACGTTCGTGAATTACTGAATAGAACATTAATCTCTCTTCATCTTCTTCGACGTATTAAATATTATCAATTACCATGTAAACAACAATGGAATTTAGCTTGTTTTTATGATGAAAAATATATGTGTTATTGTACAAATAGAAATGAAAGTCGCGAAGCCCAATGTTTCACAATTGGTCACAATGAAATGAATTCATGTCAAGGAATGAGTAATGGTGGTTGTCTTAATGGAGCTCGATGTTTTCAGGATCAATTAATCTGTCCGACAATGGTTACGTGTGTTTGTGCAGAATGTTTTTATGGAACACATTGTCAATTTACTACGCAAGGCTTTGGTCTTTCACTCGATGCTATCCTTGGCTATCACATTCAATCAAATGTTCCGTTTCTACGGCAACCACTAGTTATTAAAGTGAGTGCCTTGTTAGTAACAATCATGGTAATAATTGGTCTATTAGGAAATCTTCTCTCAATATTGACTTTTCATTCGAAAACTATATGTGAAGTTGGCTGTGGTTTGTATTTATTTGCTAATGCAATTATTTCTCTTCTTACGATCGTCTTCTTAATGGCTAAATTCTCGTTACTTGTTCTTTCACAAATGACAATCATTGTTCAACGATCATTTCTTATATTCAATTGTCGTTCAATGGATTTTATTCTAGGTGCTTGCTTGAGTATGGGTGATTGGCTCAGTGGATGTGTAGCAATCGAACGAGCTTTTGTAACATACAAAAGAACTTCTTTCAATAAAACTAAAAGTCGAAAAATAGCTAGATGGATAATTCTAGTTGTTTGCTCTGTTACATTATTGACACGTATATATGATCCAATTCATCGCAATCTACTAGATGATAATGAAGAACAACGAATATGGTGCATGATTACATACAATAGTTTCTATCAAATGTTGAATTCAACTATAACTATGTTTCATTTCACTGTACCGTTTGCAATTAATTTGATTTCGGCCCTTTTCATTATATTCATGGTTGCTCGACAAAGAGCATTTGTTCATAAAGAACAAACATATAAACAACATATTCTTCAACAATTTCGTCGACATCAACATATTATAATTTCTCCTTGTATTTTGACTGCACTGGCAATATCTCGTTTGATTTTTTCATTTTTACCTGGCTGTATGAATTCGCCTCGTAATCCTTGGCTTTTCTTTATTGCATATATTATTTCATTTATGCCGTCAACTTTAATGTTCGTCGTATACATATTACCTTCGAAAATTTACAGAGGCGAATGTAGAAATGTTCTTACTCATATTTCACAACGATTATATTCGCGATAACAGTTAGAACTTGATTCAATGTCATTTCTGAGCGAATATAATAGAAAAGAAAATTGAAAGAAAATGATTTTTTTTCCGAATCTATTCTATAGAATGTGATTGCTTTTCATAGATACTTCAACAGTGTCGGATGTAAGTGTGGGTATTCGCATCATTCACATCCTTTTGCTTCAAATTTTTCAAAGTTTCAATACATCCGAATATGTTCGACCGTTGAAAAGCCAGTATCTCTAGTGAAATTCTAATCAATCGTAATTTTTGTAACCTGTAAAAAAATTCTTAAAATTTTTCACATTGCTAAGTCTCGGACAACTTTGATTTATCAGTTAATATAGAATAACAGAATGAACTGTTGAAAAAGATCAGTTCAATCCAAAATAACTGTTTGAATAATATAATTTTAGTTACTACACATTTTTGACCGTTCGCCGAATACGAAGAAAGCGTGTCCGTTTAAAGAAGAGCCTTTTTGCGTTCAATTTTCTCAGCAAAAAGACAAACATAAAAAAACAATTCAGCGAAAGTACTTTGCAGCGAAGACGTATGATAGCAAAAAAACGAAAGTAGCGAGAGAACAATAGAGCAAAAAGTCACACATGACGAAAAAAATATCCAGTGAATTGTTTTTCTTGGCGAGCTCCATCTAACGCGGTATAAGAATAATTCATCATGGCTAGCTATTTATAAGTAACAATCCTTGTTTATTCTTTTCTTTTCTCTTGTATAGACGGATATGTGTGTGTGAGTGGATCTTATTTTCACCAAAAGCCACATCTATCTACCTACACTATCACCATTTGATCTGTGCTCGTTATATTTATCTATTTCTTATATTTGAATTTTATTTTTTTTTGATTATAAATACAGTTTCCTTTAATGATATTTTTTATTCGTGAAAAAAATATTTTCGCTAATTTAGTCGTTCGCTGATATGGGTATGGGGTGTGGGGTGTGGGTGTGGGTGTGGGTGTGGTTGTGGTTGTGGGTGTGGGTGTGGATGTGGGTGTGTGGGTGGCTGTGGGTGTGGGTGAGGGTGTGGGTGGCTGTGGGTGAGGGTGAGGGTGTGGGTGTGGGTATGGCCGTATGTGCTCTTCACTCATACCCACAGCCACACCCAACTCACAGCCCACCCACAGCCATACCCAACTCACAGCCCACCCATAGCCACACCCCAGCCACACCCTACACGCCCATACTCCACACCCACACCCACACCCACCCACACCCACACCCACACCCACCCCCACCCACACCCACCCCCCCACCCACACCCACACCCGCACCCACCCACACCCCACACCCACACCCACACCCACACCCTTGAGCGACTCCAACATCGACAACGAAAATGACTTGCATTACTATGTTCATGATCACTTTCATGCATAGTCAAAATAGCTGACAGTGATTAGACTCTTTTGAAATGAAAATTCTTTTATGATGATCAACTAAACATTGCATAATTTTCAATCGTACGTGATCGAATTCTGCAAGGTTCTCTGGTTTTGCTAATAGGTTTATCATCTATGACAATTTGAAATCCTTCACGTATCTTGTCATTCAAAGATGTGGTAGTGATCTTGCTTATTGCAAACTCGCGAGATAAGAACACTTTTTAATCAATACGTACCTAATTGCAAATATATCGTATTTCAAAATCTCAAACACCTCACCAGGATAAGTTCTTATTATATTTACGCTTCACTTGTACGAAAATCGACGGCGAGTTTTGAGGTAACTATGGTGATCTTTACCCATTTAAAAACTCTTTTCGTGCAAAATGAAACATATTTTTTCTTTTTGATTATTAAAATAATTATGCAAATATAGAAATCATGCAAACCAATAGGAATAGTGCTAGAAAACAATTTTCCAGTGATTGCACACGAACATTTTGAGTTCATGAGAAAAATTATTAACATCAATAAGAACTAATAACAACCAATTGACATATGTATACAATAATAGGACTCAAATGAAGCATAAGAGCTAGAAAAATGATTTCCTAGGTGATTAATCAATGTTATTTGATCTTTGTTATAGTTCCTTGTTCGATATGTAGGATTTGATCAAAGTTGAGTAACTGTGCTCGTTCAGTGTGTAACGTAAGAATAAGAATACCTTTTGGTCGATACCATTTCATAATGTTGTCAATAATACTCACTGTTGTCTCAGCAGGTAAACCTTGATCAGGTTCATCGAGAATAAGTAGAGAAGCATGACGTTGATAAGCACGATACAATGCTCGTGCCAATAATAATCGTGTCTTTTGTCCACCGCTAAGTTTATTTTCCATTTCTTCATCGAGATCTCCATTGAGTTCGTTTCGAACGAAATCATCGATTTGAACGAGACGAAGAAACTCCCATACAAGTGAATCGAGTTCTGACGTTCTCTTTTGTTTAACATCATCTTCATCAATATCTGTAATCATACTGTAGATAGTTGATCGATAATCCATGTGACTATCTTGTAAAACCATTGTTCGGCATTTTTCAATTGAATGAAGAGTCATTGATTCTTGTCTGTTGTCAATTTTTATCTCAGCCGTATAGTCCTTTGCTGGTATTGAACCATTTAAAATATCATAGAAAGTCGATTTACCTAGAATAATATTTGCGATCGTATCAACAATTGTCTGCAAGATAAATTATAGAATGAGAAAATCTTACCTGCTCCACTTTTACCCGTAACTAATACTGATTCTCCCATTTTGAATGTCAATGTACCATGAAATTGCAAATGAAATGCTTCTCGTTTGCCTTCATATTGAAATGAAAGATCTCGAATTTGTAATTCAGAACTCAAATCTATTTGTTCGGCATTGATTCGTTCATCATACTCTTCAAGTATTGGTTTAATCAAATCGTAATCTTTTATCAATCTTAACCAACGTATATAAGAAACTAGCATCGTATGAATCGAGTCAGTCAACGTCGATAAGTGATGATACAATGGAATGATGAATGTAATAGTTCCATTTAATAGGTAATAGATAGCTATATTTATAAATGTACATGATTTGCCAAGTATATCTTCTTGAAATGATAAGTTATCGTAAAGATAATCAAGTACAAACCATTGTCTTTCCATATCAATTTTTAATTCATTTGTAATATTGATAATTTTGTCTTTTTCATGATGAATGACATATTCGAACATATTCGCATTTGCACGTGAATATTTTGAATATAATTTATCATGTTTTTCGATCATTTTCAATTTAACTTCAAGTAATTCATTACTCTTCTTGTTCAGATAGAGTCGATAGAAATAAAAATACACAATACCGATCAATACAGTTGCAATAGGGCATATGTAAAATATGGTGACTACGGTCATGATAAATTTCGAGATTTCTCTCAAGTGATCAATAAGTTCTTCGACAAGATATTGAGTAGACGAGGAAGCTTCTTCGATCTTTCGTCGAATTTCCACTTGATCAGATAATTTAATCTTGATCCAATTGGCACTCAATATCCGTTGATTTAATTTTGTTTGAAAATATTTTAAAAAATCAAGAACAAAAGTCTTCTTTGCTAGGTTTTGTTTGAGTGAACAGTAAGATGTAACATTCTCAAATATGATTAGTAGAATGAGATATTTCAAACCTTGAGTGACATTTATTGTAATGGTGGAGAAGAACGCGACATTCAAATAAGTAGTTATTATCATTGAACTGACAGCCAATATGAACCATTGGATTAAACTAAATGGCTTTAAAACAATTATTATGTCGAAGATTATTTTGTACAATGTCCATGGAGATGAACTCCGAAAGAAAATCGGCCACATTTTTGTCATTAGAACTATTTTGAATCGTTCTCAAAAAATTATTCTTATTTAAATATCTAATTTGCTACTAAATAATCTGATGAAATAACAACATGTATTGTGAAACATACGCACGTGCCTGAAGCATGATTTCACAAGATTAGTATTTTTATTGAAGTAGTGACGCTTATCTCTCACAACCGTTGCCTTGAGTCAATATGATGACGCAATAACCTATGCGAAGGGTGCGATTGAAATTGTTGCCTAATAATTCATTTTTTGTTTATTTGATTTTGTTCTTCTTTTTTCTATTGTCTTATTTTCTTGTAAATCTTTACATAGTATCGTAAACTATTTATATTAAAATACGTGCAATAACCTATTTTAGTTTGATAGATGCGTTGCATTGGTTAGTTTTGTAATCAGTTTGTTTCTGTTTTGATCCTGTTTTTCAGACATTAGAAGGTGTTGTCAACAGTCTTCAGGATGATTAAACTGTTTTCAACAAGTTTTCGTATAAATTTTCGATCGAAGATGATTGAAAATCTTTGTTTTATCATGAACCAATTTCTTTTGAATGATGCTTCGAAAAATACTTTTAAAGTCTCTCAGGAGAGCAACATCTGAGCTTCTATGCACTATATTTTGTAACAGAAGAATGATCTTTATCGTTGAAAGATTTATGTATTGGATAATACCATAAATAGAAATAATTTGTAACATTTAAGAAATTGTATGGATATAGAACTGACTTCTCTTTTGCTCATGAGTATGTCATTACTGAAACGTGATGTTTGTTGTTTTCTCTTCGAAACACTCAAACATACAACCAAAAATGATATTTTGCTGCATCTTTGATAACACTCGACAAGTTTAAACTGATTAACTATCACTAGTATGTATCTACAGTGTATCATGAGAAAGGAAAGTATTAGTAGTTTGTTCCAACACTAATATCGTTCTGATTTGACATCAGAAAGGTACGTCATGCGATTCCAATGGCAATAAGTTCACAAAGTCTTCGAAGTTCTGGAAGATTTTAGTAATGCTCAAAGACTATACTTTCTATCTCAATGAAGTCATCTTAAATTTACCAGAAATCCATTCACGTTTTCTGAGAATCTAAAAAATCTCATAAAAAAATGATACATCTATTTAATTTAAATTGGAAAAGTTTTGCGAGTATCAAGCCATGTAGATGTCTCTAACGGCTTTATAGAATGTATTGGCAAAACCCGAAAGTGGAAATAAAGTTTAAGGATTGAGAATGAATATGTAGAGTCTATCTTCAGTAAAAGAAGATGCTTGGATAAGACTTTTTTTCGAATGCTTCTTATTTCTTCCTAGAAATTCGAGCTTTTGCATATTTTTATCAGTTGTAGATTATGGAAAGACTGAGAGAAGATCTTATTTTTAATGCTGTAGAGAAAGAGCAAAGAGCTGTTCGACTTAGAATGAAAAATTAGTATACAGAGTTTTTCCTACCTGATCTTCCGATCATTTTATGCTTCCCATTTGGTTGAAGTCTGTGTGTCTAGTAATTGTACGGTTCATTTTTTCTTTGTTTAATTCACTCTAACTCGGGTACATTCGATGCATTAGTCGTGAATTCATGATTTGTGTATAAATTAAAAAGCCTCGCTTGACTTCCTCTGTTTATGTTACAACAAAAGGACTCATTATATCGTTCTAATTCGATGAAATCTTTCTTTGTCATTCATTATAGTTACACAAAAGTGTCATACATTTTCTGAATCATCCTCATTGATGAATAACTTGTAATCAACATTCTATCGTTTTCTAATTGTAAAATAATTGTATGATATTGATGCCCATGTGTTTGCTGTACCAAGAGCTGGCTCATTTCAGGATAAAACATGATTATTATATCGCCATCCTCACTTTCACTCTAAAAATGCTTGTCAGATTCTACTTTTCAAAAATTTAATTTATTTAATAAAAATAAAAATTTTCAAACATGTAAATTTTCTATCTACATTATGAACATGAATTATAATGTCTTGTTCAGTAAAATGAAACATTTGATTACAAATTAAAGTTTTCTTTATCGAAAGAAATATATATATATCAGCTAATAATGCAATAAGATTTTTTCGATTTTATGTGATCAGCGTTGCATGATATTGATCTGCTCTGACTTGGATCGATAATACTTTCAGAAGTCTTCGCAGGCAGCTTTCGATGTTCATCGAACGTGTTTCTATTGAAATTGTTTTTCAATAGGTTGACCGTTTCACTAATTTTCGGTGGTTGAACGATAACCTCTGATAAGTGTCGAATTTGAGTCCGCTCTGAAAGAGTAGATGAGTAAGGCATCATAGTTGATGTAAACATTTTTGAGCAATCAATAATTGTTTTTGTGTCATTTTGAGATATTTGATAGTTGATTTTCCTTTTCGATGAATCAATCTTCTTTGGTATTGAAGTAGAACCAAGTGTGGAACTACTCCTGCTACTATTATTGATCAATGGATCTTTCATTGTACTATGTTTTGAACGCTTATGTGATGGGTGTTCAGACGAAGTTAAAGTTTTGGAAGTAGGTTTCGTGTGAGAGTTGTCTAAAAACATCGGCTGTTTTGTAGCCGACTTGTAGCATTGTAATTCATTGCACAATTCTTGCAAGGTTAATTCAGTCCAAGGATGTGAGGACCGATGAGTATTCTTTGGTCGGCAACCACATTTTCGAATAATTTTATAATAACTAGCCTTATTGGACTTTGTACACGTAATTTGTGTCGTTTTATGACACATATCACAGTAGAAATGTGAGAGATTTTTCAATTGTTCGAGACTAATATGATTCAAATGATCTTTTATAATGTGTTGTTCAAGATCTGTACGAAGTCTGTTATGACTATTAAAGCAACAAGTTGGACCTCGCTTATCAGATACTTGAATAGTTAAACCATTCAGTCTCTTACGAAGCATCGAGGGTAATCGATGATCGACAAAATCTCGATATTGAGAAGTATTCGGTTCGACTTGATGAATACACATCGATTTGAGTACATCCCATTCACCTTGTCTTTCCAATTCTTTTGCTAATGTTAATCGGCGTGTATCTGTACACCATATTTTATTATCATAATAAATAATAGCCATTGAAGGCAAGCATGTTGGATCGATAAGACCATATATGAGAGCTATATAGATTTCACCGAGAGTCATAACGCCTTGTGAAAATTTAGTATAAACGTATTGTTGCCCGTAAGCGACACAAGAATAAGTAAACGATGAAGTCATTTTTTCTTGTTCTGTTGTTGTTTTTGTTTTTGTTTCGATGTTACCTTTTTATTCTTGTTAATATTTCCACAATGGGTATTTCATGTTTCATTTACTGATAAGCATGTATCATTGATAATAAACCTATTGATATTTAACTGAGATAAATAAAGACATCGTTTATCTTTATACATACAAGCAATATAACAGTTTGTTTTTTATTTAAAAAAAAATTATAATTCAAGTCAAGTCAATGAACCCAGTTGTATAGATCAGAAAACGAGTATGAGGAGTGACTCAAGGGGGAAAAAGCGGATCCTGGTGGATCCTGGGATCCATTAGGATCCGCCAGGATCCATAGGATCCACCAGGATCCATCAGGATCCATTAGGATCCATCAGGATCCATCAGGATCCATTAGGATCCATCAGGATCCATTAGGATCCATCAGGATCCACCAGAATCCATTAGAACTCATTATCATTTATGAAGATAGATTAATGTTCTGAATAGCCACAAAAGCAAGGAAATCAACCAGATTCACAAAAATAAGGATGCATAATTCAAAATATGTTCTGGATGAATCAATGGGAGCACCATGTGCTATTTATACAACTATGACTAGTCTATTTTACAAAGGAAAAACGGAACTTGAGACATCCCACGATCTATTGGACTCCACCCGAAGCCATTAGAATACATGGAAACAAAGTAAACAGACGTAGAATTGGCCGTAGAATTTTTGAAAACAAAGAAAAAAGAAATTTCGGAGATTGAGAGCCTGGTGGACCCCGATGAACTTTTGAGTATCTGAATGAGTTCTGCGGTTTATACGATAGAATAAGATCCATCAAGATTTAGGTGTTCCTGATTGGTTTCAGATTATTATGATGCTTGTTAATTTCTGCTGAATTCTTCTGGATTTCAAAAGATTGTACTAGATAGTGTTGAATTTTTGCTAGAGAAAAGCTCAAGTCTTTTTGAGCTAGATTTCTGACATAGGCAGCAACGGCGCTGCACAGGTTCACCATTTTTTCCTGGGAAAATGCGAAAAAACGGAAAAAAGTGTGTACCCATAAAATTTTAAGATGCCGACAGAATTTTAATTGAGATTCAATCAAGATCGTAACAGTTTATTGCTATTTCCCAATCATATATCGTCGAAGAAGCTGCTAAATCTTGAGAAACCCGTGTAGCCGCGGAATTTCAAGACCTCGACAAGGTTCATAACAGGATTCTATCAGTATCTTGAGCAGTTTACCAATGCAATTAAAACAAGAAATATGTTAATAGAGGGTCAAATTCTCAGAAAAACGTGTAGGCACGAAATAAACACGATTCTGTTATGATTAGAACAAAATCTTAGAGAAATTCTGAGTCATTTTGTATTGACTTTATGTCAAGCTCTTCTCAGAATTTCAATGGCTTCTAATTGGAAAATATTTTCTGATTGCACCTCGCAGAACTCCACTTCGATTCTGTAAGGATGATATCCATTGTATTGTCAAAATTTTTGCAGGATTCTCTAAGCAGAAAAGAGAAATGAACGCACATTATTGATTTCTATATGTTCAGTTAAAAAACTGATTAGTTCACCGCAGTAGACTGTACCATGCTATTTAATTTAACTCAAACCTTCTGTATCTCGAATTCCCTCTGAACTATTAACTTGTATTTGAACTTTATGCAAACATAAGTTATTTGAACAAAAATTCAATATAAACTTAATCTATTGATTACTTATCATAAAATTCTACTATGACTGGTTGATTTCAATTTGAATAAAAAGGTATTTTTCTGATTAGCACGAATAAATAAAACCCAGTACAAGTTTTATTGAAGTACTCGTTCTTTACTAAAAGCTTTTTTAAGAAAAAGTTAGTGCAATAGTTAAATTGATATTAAAATCTCCATTTTAATGAGTTTGCAAGTTTTATATGAAAATAAAATTCAAAAAATAACTGAGTTCCATGCTGTAAATGTCATGCAATATTGAAGATAAATATTAAAAATCTTTGACGAGAAATCTTCAAAAATTCTGTCAGAATTCTTCCATTCACTGACACATAGAAACAAAGGAATATTAGAATGAAATTCAGGTACCTTCTTGATCTTCTACATTCCTGTCAGAACCGGAACAAAACACATTGCAAATTCTTCATTGTCATTTTAGTATAGTTACTGTTAAAAGTTTATTTAACAAGCACAATTTGAGTTTTTGAGATTCAAAGATTCAAAAATATTCGAAGAATCTTAAATAGGAACTGTTAAGGATTTTGGTGAAAAAATTTCATAATTTTATTCAAAATCCTGAACCAGATCAGCCATAGATCTTGTTACAATCCTCAAGATCAAGCTTTAGTAGACTCTAAATGAAAATGGTAAAGATCTTCGTCTAACCTTGATATGCTTTCAGAAAGATCCTGGCCATCCTTGACCTTCTCTAGGAAGGATCCAAAATGCTTGTCCTTGAAGAGACCCTAAGACAACCCTGGAAATGTTCAGAAAAGATATTCGTAAGAAGAATGCTTAAGAAAATTAGATAGAATCGTGATTGAATTTTAGAAGAATCCACTACCTGAGGATTTTCATTGCTCTTCTATTAATTCCTTGTAGGATCTTTGCCTTATTTAACTGTAAGCCAGGAGAGGACCATGACGCAGAGATCCCAAACGAATTCTGTTAAAACTATAATAGAATCTAAGCGATATTCTTTCTGTAATCCCTATCAAGATTTTGAGTAAGATCAATAGTGAATCCTAGTACGGTCCATCATGTTAAAATAATAAAGAAATCTGAGTAGGAACTTGAAAAGATCCTGAGAAGAATATTTTTTTCACAATGAAATATCCTGCAAACCAGTATTATTAAAATTGGAAACGGAATCCTGAATAAAATATGACATGAATCTTCAGATTCAGGAGCCCACAATGTTCTTTCACACTTTCTCAAGGAAAAACAGGATTAACACTAAAGTAGAGGGTTGCTCTAAGTTCTGACATCCTTAGTTTGACGGAGAAAAGCGGATTCTAGAGTCCTAAGAAATTTTAGAATATATTTCTAGAAGTGTACCAAAAGCGGTCACAGATTACCGCCATTGGCTATAATTCAACACAATCCATTACAATTTATCAGAGATAACTAGAATGCAATAGAAATCATCATGTATTACAATAATATCAAACCGATTGAGGAAGCGTAAATCTTGATGGATCCAAAAAATACGCAGAATTCATGATGATATGCCAAAATTTACCAAGACATAATCATCTTGGTATCCTGGATCTTTTTTTCTCGTTACTTAGTTACAAATTCTGAAGTCACTATTCCCTTTTCTCACTTAATTTATTTGGACCTTAAAGAATTCTCATATCCATTAAGATCAACTTTTCCATCCTCGTTTCTGTACGCTTGAAATAATTTATTCTACAATTCATCAGGTTCCGTCAGGATCCACTAGGATCCACTAGGATCCATTAGGATCCATCAGGATCCACCAGGATCCAATAGGATCCACCAGGATCCAATAGGATCCACCAGGATCCACTAGGATCCACGAGGATCCACCAGGATCCAGTAGGATCCACAGGATCCACCAGGATCCGAGGATCCAGGATCCGCTTTTTCCCCCTTGGAGTGACTTGTTCACTTCGTGCAACTCTTTTGTCGATCTGCTAAATCTTGACAAATTTCACACATTCATGGACAACCTAGTATAACGAAACATGACGCATTCTCTTTCTGCATTGCACTACAAATTACTTTCTTTTTACTAATGACTGAGAGTGGAGCTAAGTTTTGCTTCGATGCATTTATTTATTTTCTCGAAAATACAAAATACCTAAGATTAGCTGCAGTATACTTATGAAACAGGTTCATATAGATGAATATCACTAAGCTGGAAAACAATTGCGACCTTTTGCAATGAAAAAAATCTGACAAACTAATGTGCTAACTAAGAGAAGCGACATGCAGTTGTGAAAGACGATATAGGTCGAAGAGATTAGTGTGGATGTGACTGGGAATGAATAGATGAAATAAAAATTCGCATCTACGTTTTTTCTATCGTGCTGATCTTGAGGGTACGGGTGGTTGTGAAGAGAAAATTCACATTCGCACCCGATAACACTCATACCACATCTACCATCTTCCAATTTCCTCGAGTTTTTGATCTTTTTGAATAAAAATGGTCAAACGCATCTTGTTTTGTTGAAGTGTTTCATTTTTTCTTTTATTTAAAAAATGTTTTTTTGACTTCACTGTGTGCCGCTAGTTGAATGTCTTTCAATGTGTTAATTGTTTTTATTAGAAATTACTAATTGGTGCATTACATAGAGTTTGATGTACAATCTGATAAAATTTTTCTCCAATGAATTTTTAGCAAAAACTGAAATATCGGTCACATATAGATCTGCTACATGAATCTCTTATATATATATTCCGATATGAATCTTCAATCAACAAATTTGATATTTCTTCTTATTAATTTTGCTCGATAATTTGGTACGATCAAACATCATTTACAGTTTATTTTTGATACATATAAATCGTTAGATATCGAATAGTGAACAAATTAATAATTTACCTCTGTATGTGGATAAATCCGAAATTTTTTTTGCCTTTTTCTATTTTTAAAACATTCAGATACATTGTGCATCAGAGTTGGAACCGGGCAGCTTTTTTCTATCCGATCCGGCCAGCAACCGGCCGGATGAATTTTACAGTCAAACTGGCAAAAATCTGGTGAAAATAACCGACCATAAAAGTATCTATTCACATATAATGGTGGTGAAGGATAATTGAATATTCATGTGCAGAAATTTGAATTAGGAATAATCAACTTATATTTACCAAAATTTAAATAAATCAAAAAACATTTAAAAAATTAAATTGATTTTCAATTTAAATTGAATTTATATACATTTAAATTTTTCAAATTTATTTAAATCTAGTTTAAACCAATACAACTTCAATTTAAACCAAATAAAATTCAATTTAAATTCATTCCGTTGGATATAAATCCAATTAAATGTGTGTACATTGAATTTAGATTGATTTAAACTGGATTTGAGTAAATTTAAAATAAACTTCAATTTACAAAATTTACATTTATAATAAATTTAAATTTTCATCTCTAAAAAATTTTTATTTATTTGAAATTTAACTTCGCAAAAATTTAAATTTAAAATAAGTTAACAGGCGGTTGCCACCCCTAATCGGAACTGGAAACTAAAACTTGGGAATGAAACTGTCACCATCATATTTTATAGCAATGTGCGTGGACTTTTCGAGCTCGATATCTATATAAGTGAGCTACTCAGATCAAATCTGTTTTTTTTTTCATCTTAGTTTCAAGAAAAAAGAGCCACTTTACAATAAATCTAGCACAACAGTGTAAATATTTATTTTTCGTGATTCAGGCAGCTGTCTAAGTAGAATAACAAAAACAAATTATATGATCTAGGTTAAATTAAGCGGTACACGAGAAAGGAATCAATACAGATATAAAGAGAACAATAAACTGTTTACGGTTAGGTGGATGATACTCTATTCATGGAGTCTTTCGCAAACACATTCTTCTGACGTGAAAATATCATAAAAACACCTTTTTCAGTCGAGGAAATTCTTGGACACAAGCAGTAATTTTTTAATAATGAACTGGCAAAAATCTGGTTCTGTCTGGCCAACTTTAACTTTTTCTCTGGTCTTGTTCGGTTCGGTCCGGTCCGACCGAACCGGCTCTAACTCTGTGGTGCATGACTCTTGTTAATGTTTCTTATGAGGGAAAGATACTCGTAGGTTTATGGATAGGGATGCAAGGGTGAAGATCATTCACAGATTTATCTGTCCAAATTAATACCCGGTATGAAGTGGCAACCGTTTTATCCGTAACTAGTACCATCAGTATTCACTGATACAGGCTTCAGTGATTGAACAGATTTTATTTCTTTTCAAAAAAAAAAATTCCACTTATTATTGACGAGGGCAATCAATATCAGAGCAGGAAAAGTATTTCATGCATGAACTGAAATGTGACGGTTAACATAATAGTATTCATCATTGCATTATTTATTATGTAGGCGAGGCACATACTTGACTCATGAAGCGCGACGATGCTCATATTCATACTCATGTGTCATATTACTGAGTGACGTAAGGTAGCTGCTACGTCATTGTCCTCTTTGTCCTATAAATATAGTGTTCTTGATCTTTGACTCAACAAAAAGAGCTCATTTTATATTCACATACAAAGACTAAAAAAACGGTAAGCAAAACTTTATAAAACAATGTCTCTTATTGCAAATGAATAATCTTTTCACAACTTTTCAACTACCAGCAAAACTAGATCCGACTCAGAACTGCCATTCAACTATATCCTATTGATGTCATGTTTATAGCAAATGAGAATATTGTTCTTCTTGTTTTTCACTTTAAGTTAAATTCAGAAGTGAATGTAGAGCAAACTACAATAGATATGAGAAAACGAATTTAAAATTAACTCTTTTTCGGTAAAAGATTCATGTTTAAGCCATTGGGGACGGGAAGCACATATGTATGCCTCGCTTCTAATGCAATCAGTATGTGGCCTTAGTACATCTCTCACGATACTCTAATGGCAGATATGGTAGTATAGATCACACTTTTATAATTTCCGATGCAGCTATGAGTTGGTGTGGTTATAGGTGTAGGTGTGACGTGTATGGGTGTTCTTCTTGCAGTCACATCTACATTCCACATTCAGACTCATATCCACCACTACAACACAGTCATAACACATCCATACCCAACACTAAACCCACACCCACACCCTATATTTGCAAAGTAATGTATTTTTCAGTACTTCAAAAAATTTCATTTTTTTCTACAGTAATCTCCTTCCCAAAGGATTATTATAATATTAGTAGAAATGTCAAAATTTTGTTTATAATAGAATTTGATATATTTGGATGAAATCGTTCATGAAAATTATTTCCATTGTAGTGAACTTAGACTAGAGTACACACAGAAAATTTTTGTGTTTTGCATTTTCTATTATCTTTTATCATTCTTTTACTCTTTCAAACTTCCAATAATTATAAACTATTGTTTTGAAATAGTACTGTATATTTCTGAAAATCTTGTAATTTATATAATTGCAGTAAATTCAAAATTCATATGACTTGTTGGATCTTATTGATCTTTGTTTATATTGTGGCTGTTGTCATCTTTCATATTTATGTACGATACTTCTCTTCTCAACGATATAATTTTGAATCAAAATATCCTCCTGTTGTTATTGAACCATGGTACTGTCCATTTTTAGGTCCTCTATTGTCATTGTTAGATGTTGAAGCATCAATCAATAAATGGCGTAAGAAATACGGCGATAATTTTACATTATTTATGTTCGGACACTATATAACATTTATTACGAAACATAATGATGTGAAGAAATACTACAATGCGCCTGTGCATATGTTGAGTCTAACAAAAGGATTTGAGATTCTTTTGAAATCGGTATATCCCGAGAGTCATTACATGTCAGAATACAGTTCAATACCCCACCTTCAAAATATTATGACTTCACATAATTTGCGTTGTATGGCATCTAATATTGAAACTGTCGTATATGAATATTTTAATACAGAGAATGGTCAATTTTGGGAACAAAATGGGAATGAAGTTAAGGTCGATCTATATGAATTCATGTATCGTCTTGTCTTGCGTTTAAATTCTATTAATTTTATCTCACCCAGAGTATACAAAAATCATGTCAATGAACTTATTAAACTTTATAATCAATTAGATGCCGAAAAGATACTACTTAATCCAATTTTAACTAATCTTAAAAGATGGTTTTCATTTAAAAATGAGATGGAAATTGTGTGGGACCAATGGTTACAACTTCTGATGCCTGAGATTGAAAGATGTTTGGAAATGATGAAAAACAATATTGAACCAAGTGATATGGATATTGCATACGAATTAGTGAAATATTCTAAAGAAGAGTTAGAAAAACGTGGACAACCATTCTCACCTCGATTAGTTGCATTTCTTGCTTATTCGTCTCTATTTCCAGCACAAGTCAATACATATACAGTGGCAGCATCTATGATTCTAGAATGGATTCGTCATGAGCACGGTGATATTGGACAAGGAATTAAAGAAGAAATCGATCGTCTACCACCAATTGGTGAGCTCACCATTGAATACTTAAATTCAATGGAGTTTACTCAAGCATGTATTCATGAAGTCATTAGAATGCGTACTGATTCTCAATTAAGTATGCGATATGCTGCAGAAGATATTCCATTATCGAACGAAAAATATATTCCAAATGGAAATCTTGTTGCAAATCCTATGACTCGTGCTCAGGACTTATTTCTTAATCCGGAAAAATTCGATCCCGAAAGACATTTACCACCAAGGGAAGAAAACAAAGCTGATTTATATAGAGTATTACCATTTGGACGAGGTAAACATATTTGTACTGGTGAAAGATATGTCAAAATGCAGATCAAAGTGTTGCTTATTCAATTATCGAGAGTGTGTAAAATGGAAATCATGGAAGAATCTATCAATTTTGAAGCGACAATCAATAAGAAGCAGTTATCCGGTCTGAGCCGTCCGACAAAACCTGTTTTCGTCAAAATATCAAAGAAAGAATAATGACATTATTAATCGCATTCGAGTAATTTTTTGTGCACCTAATTTATTTTCTTATTCAAGATGGATAAATAAATGAAAAAAAATACATTTAGATAGAATTTTTTAGTTATTTTTTAGATCTTTCTTAACTGAAAAATGGCTATACATTGCGATATTTTTTGTTCTTTAGATACTGATTGATATAAATTGAAATTACATTATTTAGCATTTCAAGAGCTTTATTCAAATCTTTCATTTGGTAAGTATTGTTCAGACATGATATCATCACTATAATCCGAATAGTTTCAATGACACAAGAAGTTCCATATCTGTTTGCTAAATCCCAAGTAAAACATATCAATATTCTCTTTACATTACTTGTTTACAAACATGATTCTAACGAGGTAGTGCACATTATGAGGTCCGAATAACATATTTTTGTGCAACACAGATAAAAGACTATGTAGAATTCGACAGTAATTTTAGTTCAACATAAAGTAACGGACTTAGAAATAACCCAAAATATGAATAGTCCCAAAGTGAATACACTGCGAAGAGAACCTTGTTTAGCAGAATATTTAAGACTTTGTTCAGATTCACTAATGAAAAGTAAGAACTGTTCCAAATAATTCTATGTGTGAATGCATTCGATATGCTTAGAGAATGAATGCAAAAATTTTCTTGTTTTCAAGAAATCCATATTCAATGGTGGTAATTATCAATAGGCTTGTAAGAAATCAAACTATGTCAAACCTTTTTTCCTATAAATTTTAATCAAAAGTACAATTTTTTGATGACTTTTTTTTACAGCCTATTGACAAATGTAATGATTAATTTCAGGATTTGATGAGTAAATGTAGATGATGATGTTATTCGTCTTATTAATCAAATATTCAATAGGATATGCTGTCCAAATAACTAACCTAGGAAGTGACTAAACAGAAAACTTCTTAGGATGTTCTCCTGCTTTTCAAATCCACGAACTATGGCTAAAATAATGTTACATCGGTTTTTTTAGGTTAACCCATGACCTTTTTACAGGATTGCTACTTAAAATTAACAATTTGCGTTCTAAATCTTCGATTTTAACGAGATATAACAATTATTAGAAGATATTGAAAATTTAATTGATCATTTTTGAGAATAGAATTTAAGTCAAAATTACACATGTCACCTGAAATTATTAGATAGTTTGCTTTATCATTTCTTGGCACACATTTCTGACTATTCAATCGATTATATCCTCTCATTAGTCAATAGTTTATCGCACCAATGACAAGTTCAGTTGAGCTAAATCAAGAAATTCCATTCACCTATATAATATATACTTGCTATGATTATATAATTAGACACATCAATTCATCTCAATGTAAATATGACTTAGATATAGATATTGCATTCTCTTGTTATTGTTATTCCTCATTTCTCATTTTTATGCTTATTAGAAAAAGAATCAGAAACAGTAATGACAGTGGTAAATATTCTCTTATAACAAATGAAAGAATGATGCAATCAATGATAATCACACGTATGTACAAATGAAAACTGCAAGAAGCTTAACTTCATATCTCTCTTGTTTTGTTCTATTTGAATAAAAGTTACATTGATGTCCAAATTGGGTCTATCTGCACTCGACATTTCTTTTGAAGTTTATATTACTCTCAACAAACATGGATCTTTTCATATATTTCCTACTTAAACATTTTGTCTTATTGCATCTAAAGAAATGGGATTCGTTTTAATTATTTTTAACGATGACTAATGTTTGGATCTTAGTCTATTTTGCATTAAAAATAATTTTCACTGTTTTTTCTCTCTCTGCATAAAGGTTTCGTGTAAACTGAAGCTGTATTCAATATCTATGAAAATGGCAAGATATATGATCAATTCACAGATGCATTTGATGTGATGAGTATAATATAGAATCCAGTGAAAGAAAAGATAGATTCATTTTGACTAATTACAATAGTACCGAATGAAGTTCGAGAGACCAAATCTTTTTCAATGTTGTCATATGTAGCAGCGAAATCTTCATTCTTGACATCTATATCTTTTTGTTCGATTTCTAGCGACTACTCATTGTTCTGTAAAGCCTCATCGCATTATTATAATTCACACTTTATTGCTCCGAGATGTTTGAATATTACTACACGACGATGTCAAACTCTCGCTACTTCAAACTCCATTTGATAGAAAAGATTCGAATCACTTCCAAGTTGGCAGTTGATGCATCGGTTTAGTAGTGATCAAAAAAGGATCTTTGTCATTCATTAACATCAGACTTATATACCATATTTTGTTCGGCAAATATTTGACAGAATCCATACGACATACGGATCTCATGGAATAGAGATATTCTTTCTCTGCTTCAAAGACCATTATCTGACTAATATTAGCTATAAGAAAGTACAATATTCGTATCAACTTTGATTTGCATTGACACACTCGTTTTCTTTCTATCATGGAAAAGTTTATGAACGAAATCAAGAATTACTTTGCAGTTGGAACATGTCGATAAGATATTTGAAGTAGACACGAGTTCTCATTCACTTATCGAACTATGATCAAAGTCTGCACTTTCCATGCCTTTTTCATGATATAATTGTATCTTTCTGCTATTATTTTTTTTTCTACTATTTGACTCTTTGTTAGTGAAGATGCTGAATAAAGACACATACAACGTAAGCTATGTCATATTGACGCATATAAAGAGCTTTGTTTAACATTCGGTAAAGAAAAAACGTCGCCGCTATGTCATTAAACAAGCGTGTGAAACGAATAAGTTTCGTACTTTTCAATGAGAAATATTAATCCTTCAGAGTTATGTGTTCTTAGAGTTCATACATGCTCCTCATGTCCTCTTCTTTCATAGCCAAGATGATCTATCGAAACGAATGGCCATACACAAACATGGCTTTTTGCTGATTAGTCTTTGTTACAGTCTGCAAAAGTAATCGTTTCACTAATATCTTTTCATAATTGCTCACATAGAGGTTTAATGGATGCAAGCAGACTATGAATTATGCAGA